AGATAGAAAATGTATGAGATGAAACTGTATGTCACTGTTCGTATATCAAATTGAAATGTTTGCATTGCTTAATATTTTTGATTTTTTTCTAGCCAGTCGAAACGTTGACACACAAAATTTTCTGGTCATCGTTCCAGTGAAATTTAAATAACTGGACAAGACCGGAATGAAATGTGGATAAGAACTGAGCATTCGATCCAACAAAAAAAATGCTTACCGTCGGCTTAGTGATGTGTTCTGGTGTTACGCTCAAAACTGGAAACGACGTGTTCAACCAATCGGCGATATAGTTTGCATCAAACAATTGTTTGCGATTCTCTCGTGGTACCAACGATGGTCTTTGAGGTGGCAACGACATGATTTCGGCTTGGATCGTGAATCTTCACCACAATTAACTTCAGTCGAATCACTTCAAAATACAACAAACATTCAAGGAAATATATTTTTGGTTCAGTGAAGACGGCGATTATTTCATTCCAACCTGCCTATTCTAACCAACCAACCAACAAACAGATTATGCTGAATCACTCAAAAAAGTAACGAACTCCTATGCAAATTATTCAGTGACAATTAAAACTAAGCGAAAATCGCATAAAACCTTCAATAGTTTTGAAATGAATCGCTTCCCGCACTTAGAACACATCGAACATCACACAAACAATGCAGCACAAGCGATTACCACCGAACTGTATGTTCTGTACAGCACTAACGCATTTTCAATTTTACCTTCAAAATCGCAATGGGCATTGACACACTCTCCGAAATAGTGATTTATTCAGGCCATCGACAATTTTCTAACGATCCAAAATTGCTGTCCATACGATTCTGTGAGGAAACCATCAGTCTATCGAAAATTCTTTAAAATGCTCATTTTGGAGAGTAGAATTTGATGCGGAAATATGGTAATCCAGTTATTACAACAGGAATTGCAATGAAGACAAATGCGACTACATCTTTATCAGTGATTAAAGTGGACGATAAGTCGAAAAAAAATCTCCTTTATTCAGCATATCACATAAATTTCAAAACACTGCACCTATACCATTGTACATGATCAGCGTGTACTGTACAATCGACTTCCTGTACTTTTCTTCTGCAGTAATTTTTGCAGCACAGTTAAAACACATATAAATATGGACTTAACGTCGGGTAATTAGATGAGCTTTCAAAGCCTCAACCCGATAGAAGATGCAAATAATCTTGGAAAGTGGTTGATCGCGAAAACTTAATTGTTGAAAGCTTTTGCAATACCAATACGCTTGTTATCCAGATCGTACGTGATGCAATATTGCTGATTG